CTCTCGCCCTGCGCCTCTTCCTTGCTTCTGCCGCCACGGCTCTCTCCTCCCTTGTCATGTCTCTCTGGAGGAATACATTTTTTAATTTTCCCACGTTTTTCAGGGAGCTCTTCCTTGATAGGATCTTCTCCTTTGTGTTCTCGTTTGCAAACACTATCTTTATCATTCGGTCTCGGTCTTTGTTGTACCGGCCTAGCCTGAAAACCTTCTCAATGCTATGCTCAGCCCCTTCCATGTCTAGTGCCTTTAGTACTTCATTCACTGCTGCTTTGTCCTTGTCACTCCACTCTGTCCTATTAGATCCTTCCTGCTCCTTAATACCCACAGCAACCACTGATCTGTTCCTTTCCAGCAGTTGGCTAGTGGAGCGTGCCGCCTCCTGCGAGGTGGCTGCTTTCATGGCCACCTCCATCACTGCAGTCATTACTTCAGAGTTATTTTTTTTTAGTATTTCCGCAAATGTTGCTTTTATTGTGGCATTCTCATCCAGAAAACTATTACCACCTTCTCCCTGGGTGGTTTTCTGATTCTCAGCCTCGATACCATTTTCTTTGAGGGCTCTAATCTCCTCCTTTGCTGCTGTCAGCTCTCTTTTCAGGTTGCTTATTTCGTTCTTCATTTCCTGCATCATTTCTTGCATCTCACTCTTGATGTCCTCCAGAAACTGGGCGAACATTTCCTTCATCTCGTCACCTTGGCTCTTTCCTGTTCCCCTGGGACCTCTGGCTGCCATGCATGACCCTGTTGGGATGGGGGAGGGAGAGAGAGATGGCGAGGACGAGAGAGAGAGAAGAGAGAGAGAGAGAGAGAGAGAGAAAGGGAGTGATAAAGGGAGAGATAAATGGGTGGGTGGGGGGGATCCGACCCTTCCACTGAAGTGAGAAGAAAGTAGAAGGGGAGGGGGGGGGGAGGAGATGGAGAGAGAGGCGGGAGGGAGAGAGAGGAGAGGGAGAGAGTGGGTGAGGGAGAGAGCGGGTGAGGGAGAGAGCGGGTGAGGGAGAGAGCGGGTGAGGTGTGTGTGTGTGTGTGTGGGCAGAGAGGGAGGGGGAAGGAAAGAGAGGGAGGGGGGGGGGAGGGAGGGAGAGGGGGAAGGAGAGAGAGGGGGGAGGGAGAGAGGAAGAGAGAGGGAGGGAGAGGGGGGGAGAGAGAGAGAGGAGAGAGAGAGAGAGAGAGAGAGAGAGAGAGAGAGAGAGAGAGAGAGAGAGAGAGAGAGAGAGAGAGAGAGAGAGAGAGAGAGAGAGAGAGAGAGAGAGAGAGAGAGAGAGAGAGAGAGAGAGAGAGCAGGAGAGAGAGAGAGAGAGAGAGAGGAGAGAGAGAGAGAGGAGAGAGAGATAGTGGGAGAGGGAGAGAGGGAGTGGGAGAGAGGGAGAGTGGGGAGGGGAAGAGTGTGTGTATGGGCGATGCGGGGGACTGGGGGTGGGGGGGGGGATGGCGACTAAGTCAGGTCAGGTCCGATGGTGGGGTCAAGATGGGGGGGGGGGATAGTAAGGTCCTATCCCAGATGCCTTTTCCCCTGACTGGACAATTGTGTGTGTGTGTGTGTGTGCACGCGTGTGTGTGTCTGTTTTAGCGTGTGCACACTTGTGTGCGTGTATGTGTCAAGATATCCCTTATGCATTACCTCTGCCTAAATGAGCCACTCTGAGATTTTTAAATATATATGATATCCTGAACGAGAATTTGATAATCTTTTACCTCAATCTGTACACCTGATTAATTGACCAGAGAGGGGTACATACCAGTCTGCCTCCCGCTCACACAACCAGATGAGCGATGTATGATGACGATGGTTATCCGTCGTTGTCTCCCACTAGGTGATTCACTAAGTGCTGGTAGATTGATGAGGTCGTTCTTCTCTTTCAACACAAAGCTCTGGAGTCAGTCACTGTATCGTTATGTGACAGTTCACTAATTCACTGTACCACTGATCACAGTCACCACTCAACAGCACAATCAGGTAGCTCCACGGCGGGTCGTCCCACCCGGTCAGGTCACACACTTACATGCACCGGTGATGCCCTAGCTCCACTTTTGGTTTCTTCACCAAATCTTCGTACTATCACTAGCGATATGACTATGCTATGTTGCACCCTGCTAGCTACACACTGCGAGAGGCCAAATACTATGATCTAGCCTCTATACTCCTTCAATGTCCCGAGAAATTGACGAATTTCCGCGGACCTCACTAATCGCGTGTGTCTCCCTCCTTCTCCGCGCGCTACCTCAACCTGTGTGTGTGTGTGTGTGTGTGTGTGTGTGTGTGTGTTTGTGTGTATTGTTTGAGTGCCTATGTGCGTGCGTGTGAGTGTGTGTGTGTGTTGTGTGTGTGTGTACTCACCTATTTATACTCACCTATTTGTGCTTGCGGGGGTTGAGCTTTGGCTCTTTGGTCCCGCCTCTCAACCGTCAATCAACTGGTGTACAGATTCCTGAGCCTACTGGGCTCTATCATATCTACACTTGAAACTGTGTATGGAGTCAGCCTTCACCACATCACCTCCTAATGCATTCCATTTGTCAACTACTCTGACACTAAAAAAGTTCTTTCTAATATCTCTGTGGTTCATTTGGGTACTCAGTTTCCACCTGTATCCCCTTGTTCGCGTCCCACCAGTGTTGAATAGTTTATCCTTGTTTACCCGGTCGATTCCTCTGAGGAGTTTGTAGGTTGTGATCATGTCTCCCCTTACTCTTCTGTCTTCCAGTGTCGTAAGATGCATTTCCCGCAGCCTTTCCTCGTAACTCATGCCTCTTAGTTCTGGGACTAGTCTAGTGGCATACCTTGGGACTTTTTCCAGCTTCGTCTTGTGCTTGACAAGGTACGGGCTCCATGCTGGGGCCGCATACTCCAGGATTGGTCTTACATATGTGGTGTACAAGATTCTGAATGATTCCTTACACAGGTTCCTGAACGCCGTTCTGATGTTAGCCAGCCTCGCATATGCCGCAGACGTTATTCTCTTTATGTGGGCTTCAGGAGACAGGTTTGGTGTGATATCAACTCCTAGATCTTTCTCTCTGTCTGTTTCATTAAGTACTTCATCTCCTATTCTGTATCCTGTGCCTGGCCTCCTGTTTCCACTGCCTAGTTTCATTACTTTGCATTTACTCGGGTTGAACTTCAACAGCCATTTGTTGGACCATTCACTCAGTCTATCCAGGTCATCTTGTAGCCTCCTACTATCATCCTCTGTTTCAATCCTCCTCATAATTTTTGCATCGTCGGCAAACATTGAGAGGAACGAATCTATACCCTCTGGGAGATCATTTACATATACCAGAAACAGTATAGGTCCAAGGACTGACCCCTGCGGTACTCCACATGTGACGTCTCGCCAATATGAGACCTCACCCCCTCACACAGACTCGTTGTCTCCTGTTGCTTAGGTACTCCTGTATCCAACGGAGTACCTTCCCTCTCACTCCAGCCTGCATCTCCAGTTTTTTCACTAGCCTCTTGTGTGGCACTGTGGCTTTCTGACATTCCAAAAATATGCAGTCTGCCCACCCTTCTCTTTCTTGCCTTATTTTTGTTGCCTGGTCGTAGAATTCAAGTAACCCTGTGAGGCAGGACCTGCCATCCCTGAACCCATGTTGATGCTGTGTTACAAAGTTCCTTCGCTCCAGATGCTCCACTAGTTTTTTTCGCACAATCTTCTCCATCAGCTTGCATGGTATGCAGGTTAGGGACACTGGCCTGTAGTTCAGTGCCTCCTGTCTATCCCCTTTCTTGTATATCGGGACTACGTTAGCTGCTTTCCAAATATCTGGCAGTTCCCCTGTTGCAAGTGATTTGTTATACACTATGGAGAGTGGTAGGCACAGTTCGCTTGCTCCTTCCTTTAGAACCCAAGGGGAGATTCTATCTGGGCCTATAGCCTTCGTCACGTCCAACTCAAGTAAACACTTCCTTACTTCCCCACTGGTAATCTCAAACTCTTCCAGTGGTTCCTGGTTAGCTATTCCCTCACTTACCTCTGGAATTTCTCCTTGCTCTAGGGTGAAGACCTCCTGGAATTTCTTATTCAATTCCTCACACACTTCCTTGTCATTTGTAGTGAATCCTTCCGCCCCTATCCTTAATCTCATAACCTGTTCCTTTACTGTTGTTTTTCTCCTAATGTGGCTATGCAACAATTTAGGCTGAGTCTTTGCCTTGCTTGCCATGTCATTTTCGTATTGTCTTTCTGCCTCTCTTCTCATCCTGACATATTCATTCCTGGCATTCTGGTATCTTTCTCTGCTCTCCAGTGTCCTGTTATTCCTATAGTTTCTCCATGCCCTTTTACTTTGCTGCTTAGCCAGCCTACATCTCTGATTAAACCATGGGTTTCTGTGTGTGTGTGTGTGTGTGTGTGTGTGTGTGTGTGTGTGTGTGTGTGTGTGTGTGTGTGTGTGTGTGTGTGTGTGTGTGTGTGTGTGTGTGTGTGTGTGTGTGTGTGTGTGTGTGTGTGTGTGTGTGTGTGTGTGTGTGTGTGTGTGTGTGTGTGTGTGTGTGTGTGTGTGTGTGTGTGTGTGTGTGTGTGTGTGTGTGTGTGCGTTTTTATGTGTTCGTGTATGCTATTGTTTGAGTGTCTGTGTGCATGCATCCATGTGTGTGTTTACTATATGTGCCTGCAGGTTTGAGGTGTTAGTTCTTGGGTCCCGCCTTTCTAGCCGTCGGTTGTCTAATGTACTGATTTCAGACCTATTTTCCTGTACCACATGTGCTACATATATGTCTCTCTAACACACTCACACATCCCCAGGATGCTGCCCATACAACCTATCCAACTATTTGATTCTTGGTGAACAGGCGCATCTGGTGAAAGCAATTTTTTACATTTGTTTGTGCCTCGGCCGGGAATCGAACTCGGGGTCCTTATGACTACGATTCCCGAGCGTTCTCCGCTCCGTGATGTGCGTGCGTGCATGTGTGTGTGAAAGTGTGTGCAGGTGTGTATACATGAGGACATGTCACTAAACTGTGTAATCCATATGTGTGGTGGCTCCCTCTACAGGGTCCTGTGCTCAGGTCTACCGAGGAGGGTGGTGGTACAGGGGGTGCAGTTATGTTCTTCCCACGACACCCCATAGTCGCATGAGGACATGGTACTGGACGCCAGGTGACGGCAGCAGCGTGGTGAATCTCCAGCAGCTACAGCTGATGACACGACCCCAGAACTTCCCAACTTCTCACCAGTGACTGTTGGTAAGTTAATGTGCTGGTGAGCTGGTACTTGCGGTGGTTGTGGTGAGCTGGTACTTGTGGTGGTTGTGGGACATGTAGGCGTCATGGTGACTGAAGGTGTTGTCTGCCAGGGTGGCAGGAAGTGCTCCTGGTGGGACATGACCGAAGGTGGTGTCTGCCAGGGTGGCAGGAAGTGCTCCAGGTGGGACATGACCGAAGGTGTTGTCTGCCAGGGTGGCAGGAAGTGCTCCTGGTGGGTCATGACCGAAGGTGTTGTCTGCCAGGGTGGCAGGAAGTGCTCCTGGTGGGTCATGACCGAAGGGGTTGTCTGCCAGGGTGGCAGGAAGTGCTCCTGGAGGGACATGACCGAAGGTGTTGTCTGCCAGGGTGGCAGGAAGTGCTCCTGGAGGGACATGACCGAAGGTGTTGTCTGCCAGGGTGGCAGGAAGTGCTCCAGGTGGGTCATGACCGAAGGTGTTGTCTGCCAGGGTGGCAGGAAGTGCTCCTGGTGGGTCATGACCGAAGGTGTTGTCTGCCAGGGTGGCAGGAAGTGCTCCTGGTGGGACATGACCGAAGGTGGTGTCTGCCAGGGTGGCAGGAAGTGCTCCAGGTGGGTCATGACCGAAGGTGTTGTCTGCCAGGGTGGCAGGAAGTGCTCCTGGTGGGTCATGACCGAAGGTGTTGTCTGCCAGGGTGGCAGGAAGTGCTCCTGGTGGGTCATGACCGAAGGGGTTGTCTGCCAGGGTGGCAGGAAGTGCTCCTGGTGGGTCATGACCGAAGGTGTTGTCTGCCAGGGTGGCAGGAAGTGCTCCTGGTGGGTCATGACCGAAGGTGTTGTCTGCCAGGGTGGCAGGAAGTGCTCCAGGTGGGTCATGACCGAAGGTGTTGTCTGCCAGGGTGGCAGGAAGTGCTCCTGGTGGGTCATGACCGAAGGTGGTGTCTGCCAGGGTGGCAGGAAGTGCTCCTGGTGGGTCATGACCGAAGGTGTTGTCTGCCAGGGTGGCAGGAAGTGCTCCTGGTGGGACATGACCGAAGGTGTTGTCTGCCAGGGTGGCAGGAAGTGCTCCTGGTGGGTCATGACTGAAGGTGTTGTCTGCCAGGGTGGCAGGAAGTGCTCCTGGAGGAACATGACCGAAGGTGTTGTCTGCCAGAGTGGCAGGAAGTGCTCCTGGTGGGTCATGACCGAAGGTGTTGTCTGCCAGGGGGGCAGGAAGTGCTCCAGGTGGGTCATGACCGAAGGTGTTGTCTGCCAGGGTGGCAGGAAGTGCTCCAGGTGGGTCATGACAGAAGGTGGTGTCTGCCAGGGTGGCAGGAAGTGCTCCTGGTGGGTCATGACCGAAGGTGTTGTCTGCCAGGGTGGCAGGAAGTGCTCCTGGTGGGTCATGACCGAAGGTGTTGTCTGCCAGGGTGGCAGGAAGTGCTCCAGGTGGGTCATGACCGAAGGTGTTGTCTGCCAGGGTGGCAGGAAGTGCTCCTGGTGGGTCATGACCGAAGGTGTTGTCTGCCAGGGTGGCAGGAAGTGCTCCAGGTGGTTCATGACCGAAGGTGTTGTCTGCCAGGGTGGCAGGAAGTGCTCCTGGTGGGTCATGACCGAAGGTGTCTTCTGCCAGGGTGGCAGGAAGTGCTCCTGGTGGGTCATGACCGAAGGTGTTGTCTGCCAGGGTGGCAGGAAGTGCTCCAGGTGGGTCATGACCAAAGGTGTTGTCTGCCAGGGTGGCAGGAAGTGCTCCTGGTGGGTCATGACCGAAGGTGTTGTCTTCCAGGGTGGCAGGAAGTGCTCCTGGTGGGACATGACCGAAGGTGTTGTCTGCCAGGGTAGCAGGAAGTGCTGCTGGTGGGTCATGACCGAAGGTGTTGTCTGCCAGGGTGGCAGGAAGTGCTCCTGGAGGGACATGACCGAAGGTGTTCTCTGCCAGGGTGGCAGGAAGTGCTCCTGGTGGGTCATGACTGAAGGTGTTGTCTGCCAGGGTGGCAGGAAGTGCTCCTGGAGGGACATGACCGAAGGTGTTGTCTGCCAGGGTGGGAGAAAGTGCTCCTGGTGGGTCATGACCGAAGGTGTTGTCTGCCAGGGTGGCAGGAAGTGCTCCAGGTGGGTCATGACCGAAGGTGTTGTCTGCCAGGGTGGCAGGAAGTGCTCCTGGTGGGTCATGACCGAAGCTGTTGTCTGCCAGGGTGGCAGGAAGTGCTCCAGGTGGGTCATGACCGAAGGTGTTGTCTGCCAGGGTGGCAGGAAGGGTCATGACCGAAGGTGTTGTCTGCCAGAGTGGCAGGAAGTGCTCAAGGTGGGTCATGACCGAAGGTGTTGTCTGCCAGGGTGGCAGGAAGTGCTCCTGGTGGGTCATGACCGAAGGTGTTGTCTGCCAGGGTGGCAGGAAGTGCTCCTGGTGGGTCATGACCGAAGGTGTTGTCTGCCAGGGTGGCAGGAAGTTCTCCTGGTGGGTCATGACCGAAGGTGTTGTCTGCCAGGGTGGCAGGAAGTGCTCCTGGTGGGTCATGACCGAAGGTGTTGTCTGCCAGGGTGGCAGGAAGTGCTCCTGGAGGGACATGACCGAAGGTGTTGTCTGCCAGGGTGGCAGGAAGTGCTCCTGGTGGGTCATGACTGAAGGTGTTGTCTGCCAGGGTGGCAGGAAGTGCTCCTGGTGGGTCATGACCGAAGGTGTTGTCTGCCAGGGTGGCAGGAAGTGCTCCTGGTGGGACATGACCGAAGGTGCTGTCTGCCAGGGTGGCAGGAAGTGCTCCTGGTGGGTCATGACTGAAGGTGTTGTCTGCCAGGGTGGCAGGAAGTGCTCCAGGTGGGTCATGACAGAAGGTGGTTGATACCTGGTACCTGGTTGATGGGGTTCTGGGAGTTCTTCTACTCCCCAAGCCCGGCCCGAGGCCAGGCTCGACTTGTGAGAGTTTGGTCCACCAGGCTGTTGCTTGGAGCGGCCCGCAGGGCCACGTACCCACCACAGCCCGGCTGATCCGGAACTTCTCTTAGAAAACCGTCCAGTTTTCTCTTGAAGATGTCCACGGTTGTTCCGGCAATATTTCTTATGCTCGCTGGGAGGACGTTGAACAACCGCGGACCCCTGATGTTTATACAGTGCTCTCTGATTGTGCCTATGACACCTCTGCTCTTCACAGGTTCAATCTTGCATTTTCTTCCATATCGTTCACTCCAGTACGTTGTTATTTTACTGTGTAGATTTGGGACCTGACCCTCCAGTATTTTCCAGGTGTATCACCACCCTGGTGATGGTGATGGTTTCCAGGTGTATCACCACCCTGGCAGACACCACCTTCGGTGGTGTCTGCCAGGGTGGCAGGAAGTGCTCCTGGTGGGTCATGACCGAAGGTGTTGTCTGCCAGGGTGGCAGGAAGTGCTCCTGGTGGGTCATGACCGAAGGTGTTGTCTGCCAGGGTGGCAGGAAGTGTTCCAGGTGGGTCATGACCGAAAATGTTGTCTGCCAGGTTGGCAGGAAGTGCTCCTGGTGGGTCATGACCGAAGGTGTTGTCTGCCAGGGTGGCAGGAAGTGCTCCAGGTGGGTCATGACCGAAGGTGTTGTCTGCCAGGGTGGCAGGAAGTGCTCCTGGTGGGTCATGACCGAAGGTGTTGTCTGCCAGGGTGGCAGGAAGTGCTCCTGGTGGGTCATGACCGAAGGTGTTGTCTGCCAGGGTGGCAGGAAGTGCTCCAGGTGGGTCATGACCGAAGGTGTTGTCTGCCAGGGTGGCAGGAAGTGCTCCTGGTGGGTCATGACCGAAGGTGTTGTCTGCCAGGGTGGCAGGAAGTGCTCCTGGTGGGACATGACCGAAGGTGTTGTCTGCCAGGGTGGCAGGAAGTGCTCCAGGTGGGACATGACCGAAGGTGTTGTCTGCCAGAGTGGCAGGAAGTGCTCCTGGAAGGTCATGCCCGAAGGTGTTGTCTGCCAGGGAGGCAGGAAGTGCTCCAGGTGGGACATGACCGAAGGTGTTGTCTGCCAGGGTGGCAGGAAGTGCTCCAGGTGTGTCATGACCGAAGGTAGTGTCTGCCAGGGTGGCAGGAAGTGCTGCTGGTGGGTCATGACCGAAGGTGTTGTCTGCCAGGGTGGCAGGAAGTGCTCCTGGAGGTACATGACCGAAGGTGTTGTCTGCCAGGGTGGCAGGAAGTGCTCCTGGTGGGTCATGACTGAAGGTGTTGTCTTCCAGGGTGGCAGGAAGTGCTCCAGGTGGGTCATGACCGAAGGTGTTGTCTGCCAGGGTGGCAGGAAGTGCTCCTGGTGGGACATGACCGAAGGTGGTGTCTGCCAGGGTGGCAGGAAGTGCTCCAGGTGGGTCATGACCGAAGGTGGTGTCTGCCAGGGTGGCAGGAAGTGCTCCTGGTGGGTCATGACCGAAGGTGTTGTCTGCCAGGGTGGCAGGAAGTGCTCCTGGTGGGACATGACCGAAGGTGTTGTCTGCCAGGGTGGCAGGAAGTGCTCCTGGTGGGTCATGACTGAAGGTGTTGTCTGCCAGGGTGGCAGGAAGTGCTCCTGGAGGGACATGACCGAAGGTGTTGTCTGCCAGGGTGGGAGAAAGTGCTCCTGGTGGGTCATGACCGAAGGTGTTGTCTGCCAGGGTGGCAGGAAGTGCTCCAGGTGGGTCATGACCGAAGGTGTTGTCTGCCAGGGTGGCAGGAAGTGCTCCTGGTGGGTCATGACCGAAGCTGTTGTCTGCCAGGGTGGCAGGAAGTGCTCCAGGTGGGTCATGACCGAAGGTGTTGTCTGCCAGGGTGGCAGGAAGGGTCATGACCGAAGGTGTTGTCTGCCAGGGTGGCAGGAAGTGCTCAAGGTGGGTCATGACCGAAGGTGTTGTCTGCCAGGGTGGCAGGAAGTGCTCCTGGAGGGTCATGACCGAAGGTGTTGTCTGCCAGGGTGGCAGGAACTGCTCCTGGTGGGTCATGACCGAAGGTGTTGTCTGCCAGGGTGGCAGGAAGTTCTCCTGGTGGGTCATGACCGAAGGTGTTGTCTGCCAGGGTGGCAGGAAGTGCTCCTGGTGGGTCATGACTGAAGGTGTTGTCTGCC